GTCTCCCGTATTTATGCGGAGAACTTTTACTCCCTAGCCTTCTTATGCTAGGCTTGTTCTTCATTGCCTCTTTTGCAAGGTTTGTCTTCTCCCTAGGTTATAGGGCTTTGGATCAGGCGAGTTTGGTCAGAAACTTTCCAAATTTACCTTCTGATACGCTGGATTTTGTCATTGATTTTCTTCTTTTAACATATTTGCGGTTGGTCTACCTTACATGGTAAGATCCTTGATGGATCTGTTTTGTTACATGGGAATTTCTCTGCAAATTGTGGAGGTGTTGGTAACGGTGGCTTAATAGGCTGATCTGATATGACGAGGACGAGAAGTTGAATCTTCTGGTCTATGTCTTATTGGCGTTTTCAGGACTAAGTACTGATTTAGGACTATGTGCAACTCAGTGTATATTTATTGGAGGCAGATTCTTTGCCCTCGCATTTTTCGTGCCCTTCTATTTTGTGTGGTCACGGTTAAGCCACGTCAATATTTTATATTTTTTTTTATAAAGATAATAAGACAAAAAGAAATAGTAATATAAAATGTTAACGCGACTTAATCGTGACTACACAAATAGAAAGGTAGAGGTGGGCATGAAAAGTGAGAGGGCAGAGAATTTGTCTCTATATTTATTATACTCTTTTGTAATTATCCACAATTGTAATGATCAATTATATAATTACATTAAACTGACCTCATATGATTACGAAGGCACATCTATATTTATTATACTCTTTTGTAATTATCCACAATTGTAATGATCAATTATATAATTACATTAAACTGACCTCATATGTTTACGAAGGCACATCTCTATCAAGATATAAAATAACGAAAACTAATAATAAAAAAATTGAAAATTTTGAGTTTTAATGATAAAGACAAAATAAATAGTAAATTGAATAGTACCAAAATTGATTTTTTAATTTAAAAATGTGATTTTTCGTTAAAGTGAACAATATCGAGAGTTTTTCGTTAAAGTTCCCTTTATATCCTGACTTATTAGAGAAAGCCATATGTATTTTAAACTAAATTTACAAACCAAATAATGTGGTTATAGATAATTGAATTATTAATTATGCGTCGATTAACATGCTTATTTTTTATTGGTGATACATCATTTGGTTTGTAAATTTTGTTTAAAATTTTGGTCTCCCTAGCATTACACTTTTGGTTTATAAAGAGATATCTTATGGTTTGAAAAAACTTATTATGACTATTCTTTTCGACTATAAACGTTGAAATCGTTTGTTAAGATATATAAAAAATAATCGATTTGAAAAATTTGTAAAAATGGAATGTCACGATAACTTCTTTTTTTTTTTTTTAATTGTAATGTACCACACGATTTTAGGATATTTTTCTGCAATTATTCGTGTACACTTTTTAACTTTGATTTGTCTCTTTGTTTGCTTTTATATTGTGATATAGGATCTAAACCTGTATGAATGCAATGAATGGATGTGGAAATAACTCGGATGCGTGCAGTTTTCTCCACGCAACATTACGTGTGGAAAATCCCAGGTCAGCATCCACTCAGGAGCATGAATGCTTTTCATCATGGAATTTTTCGTCCTTTCATTTTCCAGCAATTAATTATTTAATTCTCATGTCTGCATGCAAACGCGTACCTACGAAAAGTTGTTTGCCTAGACCACATAAAAGGCCGCAGCTTTCATCTGTTTTCCATTATTAACAACTTTTTGGTCCAACGTCTTTGGTCTCCCAATCAACTTTTTGGTCCGACGAAAAGTTGAAGCATGATGTTTTGACTTCGACTTGAATTCGCAGGTCAAGCCGACGGTTTTGAGCTGAGAGCTAGGATGGGAGTTATGGGATGCCAATTAATCCAACAAATATCACAAGTAAATTATCGTGCCAAGAAATAATAATAATATAATCATATACAACTTGCGTAAAGAGCCATGTGGTCGTCTGACACAATCACACATTTTAAATTCATCCCCGTAATTATAAACCTGTGAATTTTCTAACTTTATTCGCAAAAGCCAAAATTACTTTCCAGTGATGACAGGGATGGAATCATAGAGCAAGAAAATAAAGGGAAACTTCAGTCCAAAGAGCAAAACGGGCTAACTACGATGACCTTAAGCCATCTCCACCGAAGGATCTAAAGAATCAGAGAACTGAAAATAGTCTAAAAATCATCTCCAATCGAATGATAGGCTAAAGGACCTTACGGGACAAAAAAAGCGTCAAAAGGCTAACCGGCTGGCCATCTTTGGCCAACCAGCTAGCTTGTTGGCTAGCCACTTATTATTATTATTATTATTATTATTTGTTATTTTCCCTTTGCCCAGCCCACTTTAGGGTTTGTCTCAGCCCACTCTTTTTTTTCCTACATCATTTCGCACATATTTTTCACAATTTCATATTATCTTACCTCATTTTATTTCAATTCTTCACATTCCATACTATGACCCTTTGACCTTCGATTGGAGACGGTTTTTTGTGACAGTGCTACAACGAGCACTATGGCCCTTTGGCCCTTAGTTGGAGATGGTAAGAAATATAGTCATGCATTGTTCATTAAAATATTAATTTCTTGGATGACCAAAGGGCTAAAACGAGCCATCTTGCCCTCCTTCGGTTGAAGATGATCTTAGAGCTTCAATTATCTCAAATTGATAGAATATCGTTATTTAGATAACTTGTGTGATCAAGATTTTATTTTTCTCTAAAAAGATTTTCAACATCACGACTAAAGATAAGGGTGGAATTAATGATCCTATGAATTATAGATGTTAATGCTGCCCTACAACATGTCAATGAGTTCTAATCAAAGTATTTTTTTTTCCTTTTTTTTTTTTTTTTAAACAAACACTATTATCTAGAATAAGGGATAATTGATTTTCTTCTTTCAACATATTTGCGGTTGGTCTACCTTACATGGTAAGATCCTTGATGGATCTGTTTTGTTACATGGGAATTTCTCGGCAAATTGTGTTCTATCTAAATTCTATCCCTGAATATGGGTGTTGCAAATCAATGTTGTCTTCTATCTAAATTCTGTTAAAAAAATCTATTATGTGTTGATGTGACACACATAAGACTCTGCACTCCAATAATTTGATGACACATGGATTAAAGAAAGTGTTTCAAAAATTTTAAAAGGTAAAAAGAAGAAAAACAACAAACTAACAATCCTCATCTTCTCCTTCTTCTTTGAACTCAGCCACCGACAACAATCTCCATATTCACAGACGACATTGATCTTTCAATTTCATGTATCATTTTGATGCGTTTGTCAATTTCATGGACCATCTGTGATAAAAATATGAATTTGACTACAATATTTACATGTATTTAATATATCAACATCCTTAGGATATAATTTGGCCACCTATTATTTACATGTATTTAATATATCAACATCCTTAGGATATAATTTGGCCACCTATTTAAATGTTAATTATGTAGAATGTCTAAGTGACGAACTTATTAGAAAGAAATCCATATTTGTGTCTCAAATTTATCTATTAGCTTAACTGTGTTGTTCATGTCAAGTTTCTAAGAAATAAATTGTGTCCAACACCATCTGAAAACGAAAAAAATAGCCTTTTTTCTGATTTGAGAATATATATATATATATTTATTTATTTATTTATTACAATTGATCTTATTATTAATAATCTAAGTTACAATATAAAGATCGGAGCGTTTAAACCGGCAACACAATAAATTAAAGAAAAAAGTCATATTCTTCAGACAATCCGACACTTACATAAAGATATAAAAGAAATCAAAAGGAAAAACTTCAAAAAAAAAAAACCATGCATGAAATTAAGTGCACGTCCACATTAAGCAAACGAATGGCACAAAGTGACAGACGGCAAAATAAACGTAGTTCGAAATTAATCTTACACGACTTAGACTTCTTCACTAACACTCAAATCAAAAGCAAAGGTGGGTTGGAACTTGCCCTGTTTGACTAGTGGTATCGTGGCCCATTTCTGGGCTTATTTGGATCGATGTGCTATGGCCCATTACTGGGCTGCATGCTGGCTTGCATGAATTGATGTCGTGGCCCACTCCTCTTGAAACTCAGCCTGAATTATTGCTGAAATCTAAATCTGCCATCTCAGTCTCTCCAGAACTGTTGTTGGGCCCAGATCCATCAGATGTGCTGCCTGAGCTGTCCCGTTCAAGTGGGACATCAAACCCACCGTATTCTTCATTTGTACTACGCAACTCCCCCTGAAGAGTAGAGTGGGTTTGATTAGTGATGACGAACATCTCTGTTTCAAAAAACATGACATCCATGATGACATAAAATTGCTTATGGGTGGATGGTAGTTGGCTATTAAACCCTAAAAGAACTTTGATTGGACAAAAGGGAAATTTGACTTCCAATCATGCGATAAAACAATTGAAAGATTTGCCCAACATCACTCTTTTGTTTCATAATATATAGCCAAGTCATTCCAGTGTAATCATCGACAAACGTAACATACTAACGAATACCATGGTGAGTTTCTATTGGTGAAGGCCCCAAATATCTGAATGAATTAACTCAAAAGGCATTATTTTTTTATTGAAACTCAAATGATAAGAAGTACGATGACTTTTTGCAAGAATGCAATCATTATATTGAAAATCAGAGTTTGAAACGCCATTAAATAAAGACAAAAGTAATTTTTTTTTCTAAATAACGAAGGATGCATGTCCTAAGTGACGATGTCATAGCCAAATTTACTTGATATTGTTATTGTGACCATTGCAGACTTGGTTGACTCGGCCCGTTATCACTTCATCCACATAATATAACCCTCTCCTCTTAGTACCACTCCCAATGATCATGGTACAAGAGGTCCTATAAAATAGGAAATAAGAATTCCAATTATACAAGGAATCAATCATATGATCACATTCCCAAACTATATGGTTGATTCACACCAACAAATAGTTATAAAGGAAATACAAATGATTAATTAGCGGATATGTTTGAGTGTGCTAAGGTTGAGTCAAACTAATAACCGTGCAGCTTAATTTCTCTCGCTTCTGTTCTCCCAGTAATCTGAATCAGGATTGACGGGATACAGATCGTGAGCAGACGCAGACGAAGCAGTCCATGGCCCTTCAGTTGACCCCATTTCTATCTGTTTCTCGTCCATGCCCCTTCCAAAACTAGATTGAAAATGTTTCCTCATTGCATCAATCTTAATACTCTCGGCATTTGGATTCGAGACCGACTCATGAACAACAGTCTTTCCTTCGAGCATGCTCACAACGGAAGACATGGTAGGCCTAGCTGTCGAAGTAACATTGCAACAAAGGAGAGCCACATTGATTTCAACAATCATCTCCTCTTTATTAAAGTCTGATCCCAACCTTGGATCAACTAGGTCCATCAAATTCCCCTGATCTTTTAGAAGTCGTGCCTACAAAAAATGGAAGTAACAAAAGCAATATAAATTCTGTCTTTGGATTAAACTTCATTGATTCAAATGTACTTTCACACATATAAGGCATATTAAGAAAATTTGAAGTTAAATTAGGAAGTAGTAGATTCATGTTACCCAATCAAGAAGATAAAAGCTTTCTTCCTTTTTCCGGTAAGTTGTGTTGTTTCTCCCACTAACAATTTCCAATACAAGAATACCAAAACTATAGACATCTGCTTTATCAGTCAGATAACCCCGCATTGCATATTCGGGCGCCATATATCCACTACAATATCATGAAATCATATCATTAACCCATATTGAGCTAAAATAATTAGTAAAAATATTGCTAATTGAATACTTCCAATAGTTAGAGAGATAATCAATAATACAACTATATTGCAAGAACATATCTGCCCTTCAAATTTCTTGAACAACAAGGATTTGGTTAGGTTGAAAATTATGTAAGTTAGAGACTTTCCTTTTGCTCTATCTTCCTTTTTCAAGGTGGAAAAAGATTAAAACAAGAGAATAAGAAGATAAATAAAAGTGTAGGGACTCACTAAGTTCCAGCAATACGAGTGCTAATGTGTGTATTATCCTCTTCATCAAGTTTGGCCAATCCAAAATCAGATATTTTCGGGTTAAGATTTTTATTAAGCAGAACATTAGTAGCCTTGATGTCTCTATGAACGACCTTCAATCTTGATTCCTCATGAAGATAAGCCAAACCTCTTGCTGTACCAATGCAAATCTTGTGCCTTGTTGGCCAATCCAACTTCAAATGACTTTCTTTTTCCCCTTCAATTTGCCAAATTAAACAAAGTTAGTTGTAAAGGACATATTTTAAGTGCATAAGATCTTTTATGCCCACTATATGAATGAAATGAACTTTTGGCAAACGAGATTGATATTTACTGAACAAAGCATGAGCGACGCTATTATTTTCCAGGTACTCATAGACAAGCAATAATTGATTTCCTTCAATACAACATCCGTGGAGCCTGACAAGATGAGGGTGTTGCAAAGCAGAAATCATGCTAATCTCATTAACAAATTCACGATTCCCTTGCTTTGATTTGGAAGAAAGCTGCTTAACAGCTATTACGGTTCCATTAGCTAGAACGCCCTACATTTGAGAAAGATAGTCAAACTCTCATCACTATATGGAGCAAATTAACTTCCATTAGAACGGACAGTATCAAAGTAGAAAAAAAAAATGTAATAAATAAATAAATATTGGCTTCGAAGAATACCTTATAAACAGAACCAAAACCACCTTCACCAATCTTATTGGCTTTGTCAAAGTTGCTTGTGGCATCTTTGAGTTGCTTGAAGGTAAATTTACCAGTTTGCAAGTCCACACCCTTCAAAACTGTATAACAAGTAAAACTCATAAGAAATTGTGTCGAAGAAAACTTTGAGAACAATAGCATTCTTAGTTCTTAATATTTTGTGCATGATTCTAGAATTTAACTAGTAATTGGATCCATAGGTAGACACTCTGCATCATGAGTCTGGACGATAAATATATTATAGCAACATCAAAGTGCCGGAAAGCTCAATATCTAAATAATTACTGTCTTTGTGTATGCACGTCAATGTGCATGAGAACCATGCAAAAAATAGCACAAATATTGTTCTTAGTCACGAAAAAAGTTCGATAAGAAAAAGTAATGGAGAAACAAAAAGGAAAAACCAGTACAACAGAATAAACTGCAAATTAATACCATCCTCCAATGTCTTTTTTTGTCCTAGGAGGCCTCTCTTCCAAAGAATACCAAATATCAGTAGTACAATGAAGACTCCTCCAACCACAATTCCAACCACGGAACCTACATGCATAGAAGATTCTGTCGGGGGAACAAAGTCTGCCAAAAGAAAGAGTAGCTTAAATTAGAATAAATGTAAATGTAATTGATATGAGAGTGGATTATTCAACCAACTATCTAATGCACACAGAAACAGAAGATTGAACCCGGTCTTTGAGGCATCCTTAAATAAGTAGATAGTATATGAAGTAATCCCTCGAACAAACTTTCTTTGGATGGTTGTAAATTTTTAATGTTTCCTCAAGTGAAATGGTTAGTTTCCATGTAAATATTAAAAATCCTTGAAGTTGAATTTTGTTGTATTTAAAAACGTTAACATGTTACCTAGAAAAAAAAAATACAGCATATTATGCGATAAGAAAATTTAAGAGAGTATTTCTTCAAGTCTTGTCTCAAACTACGTGGAGTAAAACACGAAAAACACAGAAGCATTATCTATTCTAAAGTTAGAGGGGGTTTGGCATGTTCATGGCTACAGTCAAGAAAATGCCCCTTGATTTCACCTTATTTGCAAGAAAGCCATCTGATTTGGGGCTGGGTTGGAGGGTAATTATAAAAATATAGGAGGGTAATTTTGTCTCTCTAAAAAAACCTATGAAAAGATAGAGAGAGCCGTCAGCTTGCAGAGAGGGATGGAGAGAGAGAAAGAGAGAGACTGAAGAATACCACCACTTCTCCTGAACGAGGGTTAGCTGTGCAATTCCAGTTCTCTCTCTAAAAAAAATCTAGGATTCTGTTTTTTTATTTTTATTTTTATTTTTGTGTAAAAAAACCAAGGATTATAGTAAGGATTTCAATTTACAAATGGTTTTTCTGTTCAGATTTTCTTTTTGTGAGTTTTGAGTATGAATTTGTAGCATGATCTTCCACTGCATCATCCAAATTTTGCATTTGTAAATTGTCAAAGAAAAACGAAGTATGAGGAAATTATAGGAGATTGTGTCGGCTTTGGCCATGAAGGGTATTAGCAGGCTGTTCCCCCATACAGGTGATTAATCGTTTTTCAGTATGTGTTCTATTTGGATGAGAAAGTGATTGAAAAAGATGATTTTTTTTTATTTGTTGGTGAATTTTTTTATTATTTATTTATTGGGATTTTGTGTATTGTGTAGAACCAGCAATGCAAGAGCAGGATGTGATCAGTCACACCCGAAAAGAGGTTTGTTTCTCAAATCACATTCCTCAGTTTGATCATTAATGTACAATGGAAGGCTCTTCAATATGATTTTCTAATTTCTCCTTTCCAGCGTTCTCTTTTTTGTTTTTGGAGTATGTATTTGATTTATATTTGATTATAGAATAAAAATTAATAAACACGAGATGCAGCAATTAATTTGCTTCCTTATGATAACACATGTATGAAAGTGCATTCAATTTCAATGTGTGTATGTGTGACAGGATGTGCCTGCTTGCTGTTGTTTCTCGCGCTATTTTTTTTTTTTTTTTGTGTGTGTTGATTTGATTAACAATTCAAGTGTATCTTTATTTTGTTGGTGTGTGTTGGTTCGCAGCCAGTTTTATTTATTGGTTTTTTTATTTGGATTTATAGCACTGAGGGTATAGGTGAACGGTGAAGCGGTTTGTATGGGCTCATGTATCTTAAACATGTAGTGAGAAGTGAGGATTTTGTTTTAGTGTTTTAGATAATCTGAAGGAATATGTAGATACTATGATTTGGGGTTGCTTTCTTAAACCATGATAAAGCAGTCCAAGTAATTTTAACATAGATATCATTTTTTATGTAATGCATGAGTTTATGAAATGTTAAGACGATAATATATCATGTGATATAAAATTCAAAGAGAGACAATGAACCGTGTTTGATATTTTGTTTGTCTTGATTCGTTTAAATTTGGGCGTTTTTCAGTTGGATTCATGGGTTTCATTTAAGATATCATTTTTGGTTTATGAATGGCTTGCCAATGCAAAAGTTTGCATATTTTCTTTGTTGGATTCATGGGGTTTTCTTAAGCTTTCAAGTTTTTAGTTTTTATCGAGAAATTTTGGGTTTCATTTATTTTTCGAACTACACTTTTTTGTTAAGATTTTCTTTATACTTCAGTAAATGATTGCTTCTTTACCTGTAAATTTTCATGTTGTTCAAAATCCACAGCGAAGTGCGGGCAATATTTCTAGTTTATGCGGAAATACAAGGGAAAGGAAATATTGAAGAAGAAGAACCATGTAGAACTGAAGTCGGATCTCTTAATTTAGTAGATATATCAATGCATATGGTCAACGCATAGTAATTAGACGAAGCTCAGATTAGTGAAAACTTACTTGGGTTTACTGAAATAGCTGAAATAAGAGGACCATAGACTCCTCTAAGAGGGATGCATGTCGTCCCTTTCCCGGCCCAATATAAACGAATCTCCAATGTATTATTAGTTACAAGAGTAGTAAAGTTCTTTATGACTACATCACCAAACTCACGGGCTTCATCCATGATATTGAAGTCCTCCTCCTCTAGTTTTCCCTGCAATACATACATGTATATATACTAATTTAGTTGCTTATAAATGTGAAAGTTAACATTCAAATCGACCAAAATATAAACAATGCTTGTTGAAAATTAGAATATTTCACTGGTATACATGGAAGTGGATGCGATTAGTTACCTGAATGTAAATATTGAATATGCGCCTTCCCAAGCTTTTATATGTTGAGCCATTTCTAAACATTATCTCTGCAAAATGGAGGCTTACAGTGTAGTTTCCATTTCCCAGACAAAACCCAAAATAAGTTAGAGAGATGGGAGAAAGGCGAGCGTTCATGTACAGTTGAGGATCGGTCATAGAGAGTCTAGTTTCATTAGTCGATATAAAGGTGTCCGCAGTTTGGTCGTCATCAGGGAAGTAACCGGTGCTGCTTAATGCCCAATTTGTTCTGCTGTAAAATGATGAAGGTCCAGCTGGAAATGTGTCATCATCATATACTGTATCTTTCTCTCCAGGGACAGTAACTAGTTTCCCACCACAATTTATATGGAGAGAGTAGAAATCTATGAAAAAAGAAAATGGAGATTATTAGGCATTGAGGAGGAAAACAAAAAAAGAATGAACCGAGAAAATAAAGGTAATTATTTGTGTAGAAACTCGGCTTACGTTTTGGACACTCTGAAGTTTTCAAACATGAAGCAGTTGTCCTAATAGAATAATTCAAAGGAACAGAAATTGTCAGCAATCATAAATGAGAAGTTGCAAAAAAAATTAGTACATAATACACCGTTGGATACCAAAGTAAATTTATAGGTGCATGCTTTGAGACGATTAATTTGAACTTACGAACTATTGCCTTTTGACGAGCTTGTAAACAAGTTACTGCAGAAATTAACACAAATGAAAAGTTAAGCTTTTCTCCACATAACACAAACAGATTAACTTCAAGCTAATGAAGACATTCTTACAGGCCACCTCGTGGTTGACAATTTGTATCCCCTATGGTGAGGTTGTTATATGAAAGATCGCTGCACAAAAAGAGCTATGATGCAAATTCTGTTGAATTGTAATTCTCTAGCTGATTAGAATTAGTGAAATAATTTATGAGCTTAAGTGTGCATTCACTTGAGTTGTAACACTGCCAAGTGTGAGGTTCAAAGATGTAAGGTAAATAATGCCATGTGTGATGATCCTAGAAAATAGTTAGATGTGTGGTTGAGATCACTTTGTGATGTCCAAGGATCCGGCTGTTTTTTGCTAATGGTAATATTCTCTTGTGAGAGAGAGAGATAGATGAGAGAATGTCAAATTAAGAAGGATTTTCCTCGACTGCATTCTGCAGAGCAGCGAGGACCTACATTCTGTGTGATTTTCTTCATCCTTTCATTTTCATTATTAATCATCTTCCTCCCAGTCCTCATATTCATTGAGGTTTCATAAACCAGAATCAAAGAAGCACTAACAAATTCTTTTCCAGATGTAGTATGTCAGTACAAAAGGAAACAAGGGTGAGGAGAAAGAGGTAGGCATTAACATGGTTCGAATGAAGTTTTTGATATAATAGTTTTTTTATCTATCTTAGTTAAAAAACCAGCCTAAATTTCCTTAGTAACTAAAGAGTAACATTAGGAAGAGAAGCTGACAAGTTGTTTTTCAGCCAAGCAGGTATACGTCCAGTCAGTAAGTTTCCAGTTAAGAATCTAAAAATAATGAATACAGAAAAACTCAGTAAAAAATATAGCGTTTGTTCTTAGGAATTTCTTTGTAAAGGTTTGAAAATTTGAGTTTGCCAACTCTGGGTGCATTAGATCATTGCTTCCATCTGAAAGACACATCTAAGGGTGATCACCTTATGTCAGTCAATTGTATGAGTAGTAATGACTCTAATGAATAAACTAAGTTTTGTTGCAGTTTAACCGGTGGCTCGTAATTATAGTAATTGTGATTGGAAATACTTCCAGCTTGTCAGGCTGGGGTGTAACAAAACCATTGAAGAATGTCTGCGTGAATTTCATATAAGAAAGACTAGATTGGTCATTCCAATTGCGTACATATAATCCGCTTTTGCTAGACTAGCGAAGGTGCTTGGAATTTCTCCGGTCAGCTGGTTAAAGCTGAGGTGTCTGCGCAAACAAATAGCAAATGCAGTTTAGGTATGCTCTCAGCAGAGAGGGAATTGTCATCTGAAAAAGATGTTCTCTTAATAAATACAGAAACTTAATGTCCCTCCAACATCGTCTAAGTCACTTTAATAATCCTTAAATTAGTAGAATCACATCTAGAAGAAATTATTTTATCTGAAGTCGGAAAAAATTGGGACGAATATGTTTGTACTTACAAAGTTTTCAATTTAGTCATTTGCCCAAGATATTGAGGTAGCCGTCCAACAACAGAAACACCAAAGCTTTGAGTTTACTGAAGACTTCTGGTACGGACAGAAATTGTGTGTCATGGAACCATTAACTCACAGTGTCTTCATGTTTTTCATCTTATCAAGCGAAGGAATGGGTGATTCAGGTCCACTCAAGGCAGTGATTCTCCTGCATGTTAAAATTGGCCCATGAACATAAACTACGCATTTCGCTAATCGTTTTGTATTTATAAATAGAGACGAGATATACTAACAAGTCAGTCAAGCTTGTCAAAAGAGAAATGCCAGAAGGAATTGGCCCTGTCAAACCGCTAGCCTGAATCAATCTGTTTCAACGAGTCATAATAATATTCAGAATCAAATAGCAGAAATATGATACACAAAAGAAAAACACCCACAGTTTTTCAAGATTTGTCCAGTTCCCAATAAAATCAGGTATCTGCCCGGAAAAGTGACTGTCACTAACCCGACTGCGTAATGATTGGAAAAGGGAAAATACTACAAATTAGTATCAGAAAGCAATACAAAAATTGTATAAGTGCTCAGGAAACCTTTAAGAAGAAAGAACCACAGAAGCTTACAAGTCCTTCATTTTGGTAAGCATTGCAAATGTTTTTGGCAACTCCCCGCTAAAGTTGTTTGAGGAAAGCAGCCTAAGTATGAAACAGATATAACAATATATCAATGATGAAGAAGTAGATGATTTACTGGTGAAAACATCTTGAATTTGTCTGCAAGAAATAAAATTCCAAATAAACCAAATACTTTTTAACACGGTAAATTTTGAATAGGACTCGTACATTCTTTCTATACAAACAAGCTCTTGAGGGAGAGGCCCAGAGAAATTATTGATACCGATGTCCCTATACAAACAAACTCAATTCCATTGATTAAAAAAACATCATTAAGGATCATCATAGAATCAAATGGGGTAAGCAAGAAACAAATGCGCAATCAACACTCACAAACTCTTCTGGGTGGTGATGTCTCCGAGCTCTTTGGGGATAGAACCTGTCAAACGATTTTCAACAAGGGATCTGCATCAAAAACTATAGTCTTAAGATCACTTTTATCAAGCCTCAACAACATTAACATGTTCGTCAATACGAAAGCAATGAAACCCATGTGTCGATTCAATATTTATGATTCAAACGCCTCATGACCACGGAAGCTCATTATCATGAACAAAATCCAATGTAGTAGATTCATAGATTAAGAAAGAAATGGCTGAAGAACATTGGAGTGACCAAATAAAGTAACAAGAACATGACATGAACATCAAACACAAAAATGTATGCAGTGTGACAGAAGACAGTACATGTTCAGAAGTGTAAAAGAGCTCCATTCTGGAGGGATGGTATGTTAGGATATATATACACGTGTAACAATTGTATTGGAGGACTGCAGAGTTAGTTATATGTGTGCTGTATTTATAAGTGAGGTCGGCCACAGTTGCAATGTAATGAAAAACAGAAAATTTCCCTCCTCTTTCTCTCTCTAAGTTTGTTCTCTCTCTTCGATACGTTTCTTCTCTAGTGTTTTCTCTGTATTACATATATTAGGGTTGTTATCATGGTATCATCGCCGACAATGGCTAATGTCGTCGTCTGACGATCTTGGTGACCGCTGCTTCCGCTTTCCTTTGTTCCGATGATCGGTGGAGTTCTGTTGTTTGGTCGTCGTCGGAGGTCTCTGGTTGGAGCTCGTTGTCGTCGTCGGAGTTCTCTGGTTGCCGATCGTTGGTTACTCAAACCCTAGATTTTGGGGATTTCTGGGTCCAGTGGCAACTTGTCGTGGTGGTGAACGGTATTTGTCTCGTTTTCTGCTCTCTTGCTTCTTGTTGTTCGTATTTTTCGTAGATCTGGCTGTGATTTGAAGTGTTGATCAGTTGTTGATCCTTGTCGATTGTTGATTTCTTGCGGAGTTGTTGGTGTGTCGGTTGATTGCTTGTGGATTGTTGAAGGATATTGCTTGTTACGATTTGTTGATTTCTTCGCTATGGTGACTGCTGCTCAATTAGCTCTCACTCAATCGCCTATATCTTCGTTGATACCTAGTGTTGGTAATACTGTGACTGTCAAGTTAGATGATGCTAACTATGTTACTTGGAACTTCCAAATTGAGTTGCTTTTAGAGGGCAATGGTATTATGGGCTTTCTTGATGATTCTATACCTTGTCCTGCAAAACACAATATCATTGAAACTGTTGATGGCAATGTGGTTGATACTTCTTCTGTCACTGATGCTTTCAAAGTTTGGAAAATTCATGACAAAGCATTAATGACGCTTATCACTGCAACCTTGTCTACTGCTGCGTTATCTTGTGTGATTGGGTGTCAAAATTCCAAGGAGATGTGGGATAATTTGAAGGAGAGATTCTCTAGTAGGACTAGAACAAACATTGTGCAGATGAAAATTGATTTACAGAACATTAAGAAAGGGGCAGAATTTGTTGATCTTTATCTTCAAAGGATCAAAGATTGCAGGGATCAGCTTGCTGCTGTGGGTGTAGTTATTTCCGATGAAGACATTGTGATTGTTGCTCTTCGAGGTTTACCTCCTGAATATAACACTATTAAGGCGGTTATTCGAGGAAGAGAAAATCTCGTTTCTTTGAAAGAGCTACGATCTCAGTTAAAAGCTGAAGAAGCAACCCTTGAGGAAGTTTTTAAACAGCCACTGATGACTGCCATGTATGCTCATGGTTCTGGTTCTATGTATGAATTAGGAGGATCATCTGGTGTCAAATCTTCTTCTTCTGATACATTCCCTAGTAGTTCATCCTCATGTCCGTTTCCTCCAGGTCCTCCAATGGTTCAAGGAGTTCAGCAGTTTCCTCCAGGTCCTCAAATGCCTCAAATGGTGCCCGGGGTTCAGCTGTCTAACTTTGCTCCAATGGTCTCTTCCCCACAACTGAGTCCACCACCTCAGTACTCACAGTTTCAGCAGTTACCTTTTTCAGGACCATATGCATTTGTCTCTCAAACAGGATCTGGTACATACAATAATTTCAGGGGGAATAATTTCAAGTATAAAGGCAATGGGAAGAAGTTTCATTCTGGTTTTCAAGGGTCTCAGTCTCAGTCTCAGCCTAATTTTCAGACTTTCAACACTCCAATGTCATCAGTGCCGCCTTATAATCCTATACTTCTTTGTCAGATTTGTGACAAAAAGGGTCACTCTGCCCTCCATTGTTTTCAACGTGGTTGTCAAATCTGTAATCGGGTTGGTCACACTGCAGCAACATGCTTTGATAAGGGTAGTCCTAATGCTTTGTCTCAGCCCATGTATTCTTCACAGTTTCAAGCTCCTGGTTTACCAGTTCAGCATCTGCATCCACAATACATATCTAATCCTTCTGTGGCTCAACCAGCTTCATCTCCAGTGGCTTTTCCTGCTCGGACTACTTCCTTACCTTCTGTCCCACAACAAGAGTACTGGTTGCTTGACTCGGGTGGTACCAATCATATGACCTCTGATATTTCGAACCTGCAAGCTGCCACACCATATCCATCCAATGAAACTGTTGCTGGAGCTAATGGTGAAGGTTTATTCATATCTTACATTGGACAATCTTGTCTTCCAACTAATTCTAATATGCTTCAGTTAAACAAAGTCTTATATGTACCACAGTTATCTCAACATTTACTTTCCATGTATCAGTTATGCAAAGACAATAATTGTCGATGCATTGTTGATGAGTTTTCTGTGTGTATATAGGACAAGGTCACCAACAAGGTGGTCTTCCAAGGACTGAGTAACAATGCTGTTTACCCCCTTCCTTTGTTCAAACAACCACACTTCAATCCTGCAGCTTATCTTAGACAGAAAGTGAATGCTTCTCTGTGGCATTGCAGATTGGGTCATCCCACCAACTCTGTAGTTCAATTAGCTCTTAGAAAGTCAGCTATTTCATTTCCTTGTAATTCCATACCTCAAACATGTATTCCTTGCTTACAAGGCAAGTTTACCAAATTGCCATTTCCTTCCCTAGCAGCCAAGTCTACTGTACCCTTTGAAGTCATTCACACAGATGTGTGGGGACCTGCACCAGTCATGTCAATAGAAGGTCATAGGTACTATGTGTTGTTTATAGATGAATGTACACGGTATGTGTGGATTTTTCCAATGATGAATAAAGCTGCAGTTTGTGCAATCTTCGTTCAATTTCATGCTTTTATTCAAAATTTCTTCTCTGCTTCTATAAAAGTGTTACAAAGTGATGGTGGTGGAGAGTTTGTTGGGTCTCTTTTTCAAAAATTCCTCAAAACCGCAGGTATTTTGCATCAAATGTCTTGTCCATACACTCCTGAGCAGAATGAGTTGGCTGAGCGTAAGAATAGACACATTGTAGAAACTGCACTTACTTTACTTCAAACAGCCTCTCTTCCTTCCAAATTTTGGTTTCATGTCTGTGCCACAGCCACTTATCTCATCAATCGCATGCCCACTTCTGTCTTACAAATGCAGTCTCCTTTTGAGATGTTGTATCATTCTCCACCTCGTCTTGATCATCTACGGGTGTTTGGGTGTGCTTGCTACCCCACTTTAAAACCCTATAGACACAATAAGTTAGCCCCCAAAACTACATAGTGCATCTTTCTAGGGTATGCTGCTCAATATAAAGGGTACATTTGCTATGCTATTCAGGATCACAAGATTATAGTTTCTAGGCATGTTGTCTTTGATGAGGATGTCTTTCCCAAGATTTTAATGCATTCATCTCCCTTATCATCACCTGTGTCATCCCCTCCAGTTACACATCTTAATACTTTTCTGCATTCTTTTATTGTTCCTTCCTTCGAAACCTCTCCACCTCGTCCTGTTACTCAGTCCTCCCTTCCAACACCTGGTGATCTTGTTCCTGATCCGAGTTCTTCATCTGTGGATATCGTTCCACAGTCATTGGTTGGTTCTGATCTGCATCCTGATGTCTCTATATCTCAAGTTCCAGAACTACAACATGTTGGTGTTCCTCAGCTTAATACACATCCGATGCAAACCAGATCTAAATCTGGTATTTTCAAGAAGAAGGTTCTTGTTGCTCAGGTTCTCCCTTCTTCTATCACAGAACCACAGTCTTACACAGCTGCTGCCAAGTCTGCTGAGTGGAGGGATGCTATGCAGGAGGAAATGTCCGCCCTAGTTAAACAGAAGACATGGAAGTTGGTCCCTCTTCCACCTCAAAAGAATTTGGTTGGTTGTAAATGGATTTTTAAGCTCAAACATAATCCTGATGGGTCTATTGCTCGTCACAAGGCCCGTTTGGTAGCTCAAGGGTTTTCTCAAGAAGCTGGCCTTGATTATTATGAGACATTCAGTCCGGTGGTTAAGCCAACCACAGTCCGTCTTCTGCTATCTTTAGCTGCAACTAAAGGCTGGAAGTTAAAACAACTCGATGTCAAAAACACTTTTCTCCATGGTTTTTTGGCTGAAGAGGTATATATGTGCCAGCCCCAAGGCTTTGTTGATTCTGATCACCCTGAGTTTGTCTGCAAATTGGAACGCTCACTTTATGGTCTCAAACAGGCTCCGCGAGCTTGGAATGATCGTTTTACCAGGTTCCTTCTCACTCTGGGATTTAAGTCTTCATATGCTGATCCTTCGTTATATGTGAAATATGATGGTCAATCTGTGGTTGTGTTATTACTACATG